TGACATGATATTAATGTATTTACATCGAAACTTACTACCAATAAGTTCCAACTTGGTCTGCGACCGTGAAATTATAAACAAATGAAACTCCGGGTAAAATAGGGCATTGCGTCTGACTAAGAAATATTAATTATTAATAATTATAGTGCTTCACGATTATGTAGAATTAATGGACAGATATCAAAGAAACCAGAATCAGGCAGATTTATTAAAAGAATCTTCCTAATCTAATCTTCTATTAATGCTGCCTAAATATTAAAAAAAAAAAAAAAACTTACCCTCCAACTCCGTCGTACCAATTAGAGCCTAATTGAAATATTCCGTGCCAATGAATTGTGGCCGGATCTTTATGGTAGAAAGTTATGGTTATTACTTTTCTTAAAAATTATGAAAATAATTTAATTATTTTACCTTCTAAAGCATTTGTAACATTTATAATAAGTCTATCTCCTCTGTTACAGTGAATTAATGGACCAGGATATTGACCTTTGTAACAATAAAATTTTAGTATAAATACATATTCAATGGGTTGAATTTGAGTTGAAAATTGAAAAATTTATCTAACCATTTACTGTCCAAACTTTTCGCGTATAGCCATCAGGGGCTAGATTCGTGTATCCTAAAACGAAATTAAGATGAATATCTTGTGGGGTAGTGTAGGTGATTGGTGCCAATGGTTGTAAAAGTTCTAGGGTAGTTGTTGGTGTTGTATAACTACGTCTTCGTATTGCATTAGATGTTGCAAAGATCGTAAACAGTAATAGCAAGACATATAAAGGTAATACACTCAATAAAGGTTTTTTCATTATTATGTGATATTATGATTATGAATTATATATATATAGTATATCTCTCTTTTATAAGTAATTTATTTTTTTATTTTGAAATTTTTTTTTATTTTAGAACTAATTTTTTTTAAACAGAATCAATATAGAATGATTCGATATTAAGGCTCTTACAGGATTAAAAATTCAACCTTTTTATACAAAATTCTCACTTTCGGCATACAATTATTGAGAAGTCAATAACAATATATGTTTAATTACCATCCCAACAACTTTACTCAGCCTCCTATAGATATTAATCAACTTCTTCTCGCTTCCTTTATCTAATCAATGTGGTTCATCTCCGGTATACGTACCTTAAACTTGAAATTAAAAAAGGTTGCGCGCGTTTGTTGTTTGACAGAATTCGCCACGAAAATCAGAAAGTTTTATATTAAATTTATTTTTTATTAATTATTTAATAATAATAAAAATAAATTCATAAGAATTAATAAGAATTAATAAGAAATGTTAATAAAAAAACAAACATAAACGCGAATCAACATTTTTAACCAATTGTTTATATTATATTTCTCTCTCACCTTTAAAAGGCAACAGCAAATATGTATACAAGTTTTTGAACCAGATTTTATCGTAGATCATCGGATGTTTTTTAATTTACTAATCAACTTTTTTCGCGCCATACACTATGCATACTAATATATCGGAAGTTCGCAAAGTTTATTGACAACCAATAGCAAAATTATTACCTTTGCCAAGAAGATCAACAAAGCCTTGAGTTAAAAACATACGATTTTTAACCAAAATTGCTTAGCTAGTGGCGAAGTATGCCGAAGCCGATCGACGTGAATTTAGATTTCGGTAAAAAAAATTTTTTTGATTTTCACTCTCTCCGTGTAAATTAAGTTGAAGCTTGCAATTTGCAGATTCAAAACGATCAACATCTACGGTCCGCAATCTTGTGGCGTAACGGGAGCGTAGAAATTTCGGACGATCTTAAATCTGCCGATCGATCGATCACCAAGATCAATTAACTAGGTATCAAGTTTAAGATCACTTTAAGCCGTTTTTTTCATTTGAAATCGGCAAAATTTTTTTCTTTTAAAATTGGAGAAGAGTAAAACAAATATATTTATAATATAAATATATATACAAAAGCAAAATGACAAAAGACGCGGCAATTCTGTTAATGATAAAACCACATTGTCACCAGTGAGATCGGCCCTAAGCATACATTCATTTCTTCGTCTCTTTTTAATATTGAGGCTGAATAATGTCTCTAAAATATATATATGTGTTTATTTAGAGCAATACATATAAATTTGTTGCTTCAAAGCTTAAGCTACTATGTACATCAACACCTTTATCTCCAGCTTTTAACTAAGCCAGACGTCAAATTTAGTAAAGAGCGTAAAAGAAATAGAGCGAAATATTATATGTTTAAAGATTGTATAAATTGCAAAGCCTCACAAAAAAAAAAAAAATTGTATACGCAAATTTCGCGAGTCTCAAAAAAATTTGTATGCGCAAATTTCGCGAGCTTCACAAAAGATTGTATGCGCAAATTTCGCGAGCCTTACAAAGGATTTATATGCGCAAATTTCGCGAGCTTCACAAGAGATTTGTGTATGCAAATCTCACAGGTGATCGATAATTTTAACTAAACATGGAACTTGTAAGAATGAATGATACGCTTTCTGTTCTGTTTCTTTGAATCTTTGAAATAATGCGCGTTTTTACATTTTAATATTTCATGGAAAAATTTAGTTAAAATTATGGAATGCTTCCTGCTTGTTTTCCATGTAAGCAATTAATTTTTATGTTACATGGAACGTTTCAGCGTTTAATTTTACTATCACGATAAATGTTGTTTTGGTATAGTTGAAGTTGCAGGTAAAATTAGTAAATTTTTTGTAAACGCTGAAAAAGCAATGAGAAATTCAGGGTGAAACTTAAAATTAGTTTCGCATGCAACTCTAGATACAGTATTTTCAATTTTTTGATTGCCTTTATTATGGTATTAAAGATTACATATATAATTCTTTAATCATACCGGTACAGTACATGCTTCTTTTCAAGCGCTATTGAAGCTCTTGCATTAATATATGCCATGAATCAGTTTAAAATTTACGCCATATCAGAATTTAAAGCCTATGTCGGTATTAGCGAAATTATAATAATTTTAATTTGATATAAAGTTTAAACGAGAAATCCAAGAATATAACTTTACTACTTCGATTTTAGTTAGCTAGATAATTTGATTTCAGTTTTAAAAAGGTTCTATTCTTATTAGTTAAGTGATTCAAACAGGCGTTTCAAATCTCCGAATACGTAAGTTATTAATTACTTTATGGTAAAAATTTACTGATGGGTTATAAAATTCCGGTAATTTTACAACCTTGAATCCAAGTAATTGATGCCTGTAACTTATAATAAATAGATATTTGATTTTGATTAGGTAATATGATTCTTCATTTATGGCGGTTTGCAAAGATTCTAAATTATGTTATTTATTGTGACTTTACATGACATCGTTACGCGCCGAAATAAACCTAATATTATTGCTATATTATACTCATTTGACTAATCGAGATCTTTGGTTTTTGTAAAGTTGTGATTATTTTTTTTTTAATTCTGGAGTTGAGCTACTCTGAGATATTGGGATGGGAAAACGATTTTTATAACATCTATTATAACTAATCCAACAACAAATAAAATGGATCCAGTGTTGGCACACCGTGACCAGATCATAACAAGTCATGTATCAACTGTCTTACGCGTATCTGGAGCATATCCAATTTAGTTCAGGTCGTAAATTACTCCACAAATAAAGATTAAAGAACAGTTATTTGATTAAATTTTGAAAAATTTTTAAGAACGGCATGTTTAACTAACTTTGTACCTATAATTAAATATGTGAAAAAAGTATGACTACATAGCGTCGCCCAGGAAAAATGTTAGCTGAATTTTTTATGGCCAACATGTGATTCGGAAAACTGATTGCCGGTAAAGTTATATTTATTATTAATAATATAAACATTAGAACTTCTGATTTTCACTTGACTTCGTTTTTGCTTTCACTTTGGCTTTCGTTTTTACTTTCACTTTGACTTTGTTTTTATTTTCATTTGACTTTCATTTTGACTTTCGCTGTGTTGAATTTACAAAATAGAGAGCGTCTTATTTTTAAAGCAGTTCGCTTAAACAATAACCTACAAGTAATTCAAGTTCGCGAACATTTATTTATTTTATTCGCATTAATTTAGTTAGTTGAGTATACATTTATTCGCGTTAATTCAGTTGATTATTACTGTAAGGTCTTGACCGATCGTTTAAATAAGTTATTCAAGTTCGTGATATTTCATACTCTACTTTTATAAAAATAACATTAGTATATTTTTAATGAATGCATTAAAATTCGTGAATTAATAAATTTTGTTGCCGTACTTCGTTAATTTCATTTATATTTAAAATAACTATTTAGTAATAAATTTGGGCTTTTTTTATGTAAGGAAATTTATTAATTAATTGGTATATTAAAAGAAAGACATAAATGATAAAAAAAAATAGAAGTGAAGTTACGTATAATCCACGGATAAAATATTTTTAATGTTCTATTATTTTTAAGTTTATCATTATGCATTCGCATTGGTTTACTAGTTATAAATAAGAAAAACTTTAAATTTACGAATGTTTACCATTACCGTTACGTGTTCGCAATTATTTCATTGAAATCCGTAAATCAGTATCCGAAATCACTTGTAACCGGCAAAATAATCCGGCTACCATTTTCCTGGATGATACATTGCTAGGGTTGTTATGATTTACAGAATTGTCGACTAGGATAGCAAATCATTTAATTGTCCCTACTGAAGTTTAAAGTTTCGGTGTATTGGCGGAGGTTTCCGCTTGTACATATACGGGGTATTTAAGCATTAATATCCCTAAGCAAAAAGAAAAAAACAATAAAACAACGCTTTCCAAATATAAGTATTCACTTTCAAAACATGAGCTTTTTTAAAAAAATAATATTAAAGTGTTCTTTTGAATGGCAATTTTCAAGTCTTTTTCTTACGATCAAAGTCATATTATTATTTACCACTCACAACACAATATATTATTTAGTACTATATTTACTTTACAAGTATTTTATTATTCACGACTGTTATTAGATGCTTTAAATTTATTTTCTTTTACAAGTATTAGATATCTTAAATGCCTCAATTAAATAGACCAATATCACGCACTAATGCAACTCAAGCATGTACAAATTGTCAAACGAGACATCAAAGGTGCGAGAGACTTTCTGAGAGGGACGATTGTACATATTGTAAGAATCATAGACTCCCCTGTACCAATACCTTAGGTAAAAGACGCGGGCGAAGGCCTAGGTTGACCATTCCTTCTTTCGAAATTGCTGAAACATTTATTGACCAAGAGCTAACATCAAATCATCAAAATACTACGCCACTTAACATTTCTGATACTATTGAAAATTTTCAATATCCCTATTCAAATTTCGAAATCTAACATACATATAATCATATCCTTCTTTCAGAGCTACTGAACCATTCATTAGCCAAGTACAAACGTTAGATGATCAAAATATCGCGTTAATTGACCCTCATGAATCTTCTTTTAGAACTACTGAAGCATTTATTAACCATGAACCAACGCTAATTACCACATCAATTAACCCTTATGAAGAGTTTCAATCCTCCTACTCAAATTTTGGAACCCCACATATTTATAATTCTATCACTACCCTTCCTTCTCTCGGAATTACCGAAGCATTTATTGATCAAGAACTAACACCAAATTATCAAAATAATACACTAATTAATACTTATGAAATTACTACTAAAGAATTTCAATCTCCTTATTCAACCATCGAAACCCCACGTATTTCTAATCATATCACTACTATTCCTTCTTTTGGAACTATAGAACCATTCATTGTCCAAGGACAAACGTTAAATGATCAAAGTACCACGTCAATTAATCCTTATGAATATTTTAAAACTATTGAAGCATTTGTTAACAATGAACCAACACCAACTATCACATCAATTAGCCCTTATGAAGAATTTCAATCTTCTTACTCGAACTTCGGAACCCGACATATTTATAATTCTATCAATACCATTCCTTCTTTCGGAATTACAGAAGCATTTATTGACCAAGGACCAACGTTTGACGATCAAAATACCACGTTAATTAACACTTATGATCCTCCTTTTAGAGCTATCGGAGCATTTATTGACCAAAAACAAAATAATCAAAATACCACACCAACTAACCCTTATGAAAACTACTACTGAAGGACTGTTTGTGAATTTTCGCAATTTTGAATGTGTGCCAGGTTGGTGGCGCATTAATCAGTCCAAATAATTTGCGCCAATTAAAAAATTTTAATGATAACATTAATAAAATTATAAATTTTAATAGAACAAAAACACCATTTTTTTAATGTTATTTCTCTCGAATTATGTTATTATTTTCAAAAAAGCACGTTTCCCTTCATTTTTTTCATAATCTTTGGCTTCTAATATTATTGGTTTAAATTCAAAAAAATACTCGTATTCTTTACTTTTGTAATGTTTATAATTATAATTTTCAAAATTTTTACAGACCAGAACGTCTAAGTTCTTAATATAATACGCGTATAAGAAAAAAAATTGGCTTTAAAAATATGATAATTAATCTCAAATAAACAAGTACTATATAATTTATAAAAAAAAAAATTTAAATGAAAAAAAAACTTTTCTCATAATCTACGCTGAATCGTATTTAAAAAAAGAATAATAATAGTGTTCCTTAAAGTTAAAGACGTTTCACTTTTTAAAACCAATTTTATAAGGTTTGTTAACCTTACATGCTTCTAAAATTATTGTAATACTCTACTTAAATACTACGTACGGTCAACTCCCTTTATAATGGCCCTTTTATAATGAACGAAAGTACAGGACGGTTGATAAAACAAATGCTGGAAGTTTTTGTTGAAAAAGAAATTTTATGAATGCACTGTATATACTGTATATATAAGAGATCATTGTGGCTGAGTAATGCGCTATCAACCTGGCACACATTCAAGAATTGCTTAATTTTCTTTTGGTGGCGTCACCCGATTCTTGTGTAATTAAAATATGCGAAAAATATTGTCGGGGATGATGCTGAAACAAGATGATGCTGAAACGTAGGGGTCTCAATTTAGAAATATAAGCTCTACTAAAATC